AGCAGCTTTGGCTCATGCAGGAATCAGCTACTTTGCCTTTGACTCTTCAGATGCAGGGACTCCTTCACCTGCCTACCTTGTGATGAGGAAGCCAGCAAAAAGGAGCCCATACTGTGGGAGACTGTTATTCGCCAATATTTGTAGGGGGAAAGGGAGAAGAATTTTGCTGGGAGGAGTAAGGACACCAGCCTGAATGACTGGCAAAAAAGCATGAAAAACCTTGAAAAATGTTTCCAAGGAAGCCTTTCGGAAAACGTGTAGCAGAAGATCCAGTGGAACATGTTCCCCAGCTAGTGGCTGTTAGCAAATACTTAATCAAGGCTTTGAATATTATTGTGCATTTAAGAATAGTTATTGTATAGGGTAATTTAGAAAAAATAAATTACATGAATTGTATAACTACAGGTGTTTTATATTAATCTAAGTCCATGCTACACTGCTCATTTTGTCCCTGTATAGCTCTATCCCATGACTGGATTAATTACCAGCTGAGTTAATCAGTAGATAAAGATAGGTGTAATAAGAAAAGATGAATAATTGAACAGCTGATTTAAGACATTTTAACTGATGTAGACATTAGATGAGAATACGGGTAAGGTAAGCATACATAATGTAAGTTAAGAGGTCAGATTCTTAGAATTTAAAGACGGTTTTAAATAGAGCATTGTGATACTAGACATAGAGGGAAATAAATGACTTTTATGATCTTGCGTCGGACCAGTGATTGAAGTTGTTTATGTGGTCAATAAACAAGAACTGAACGCAAAGAACTGGTTTACCCATGGGAAATCAAGAACTGTCTGCTGACCAGAAGAATGAAGAATTGTTAACGCAGTGGAAACCTTAGCTGGACTTTGATAACCATGTAATTGTTACAGAAACATATATAAGGTGACAATTGTAACACTTAGTTGCCACGCACTGAGGTGATGGCCCAACTCTGAGTTGTTAATAAAGCAAACCTAGAGATACCCACTTTCTGGTGAAAATTCTTCAACAGTGGCTACAGGGAACTGTTTACATCCATGCAGTGACTGCTGAGTAAGCTTGTTTGTAAAACTCTTACAATAAAATTGCGGTTTGCGATACCAGTTGTGTGCTGGTATCTGTGTTATCCTTTCCCCATGCTCAAAGCCAACTTCACGATCTCTGGTATCACTGAATATTTTAACTTTAGGATATGTCTTTTTTTGCCTTTGCTTTTTCCTTTCCATGGCTGCTGGCTTATTCTTTTTGCTGAGACTAACAGAGAGTTCCCAGACCTGAATTGTTCCCTTGGCTGGTAGCATATCCTTGAGCTGCAAGGTTGCTGAATTACCTGAAGAGCACTTGATCCTTTTCATAAGTTAAAGTCCCTCTCACTTACATGCGGTATTTGTTAACGTTCTGCTTTCTTCCTCCACGCAAAATGCTTTTCTTTCTAACTACCGTCAGGGTCTTTCTTACATTGCTTTCCAGTCCTGGAGTTATGCCTTTCCTGCATTTGTTTATTTTTTAAATAAGGAAACTCTTCCCTTATTTGGGCTGATTTCTCATAATATCATACTTGTTATTTCTATTTAAGTAGAGTTTTCCTTCCATGGGCTTCAGAGCCCCTTGCAGGGGATGGGAAAATATTATTATTTCATAGGTGAGGTGACTAAGGCAGAGAGGTAAGAAGGTCTGTTTTCAAAGGTGCTTGACCCTTCCAACCCCTGGTGACTTTAGGGTGAGTTATAGGTTGTTGGCAGTTCTTGTAACTAGGATTAAAGTCAGAAATTACTTGTCCAAGGTTATCCTGTATGTTGGTGATGAAGGAGAGCTAGAACTTAGTTTTCACAAAAGTTTGGTCAAGTCACCACGTCATAGCTATTACCAATATAAATATAAATTGCCTCCCGTAATGATCTGTCTGTGACTTAGATGTAAATGTATCCTTGGGTGCTGAAATATTACTTCCTCTCCTAGCTGTTCCTGATTCTGGAGCACTCAGCAAAGTGCTCTCACTCAGGTATTGACCCAATGCAGACAGGGAGGAAGGTAGGACTACAAGCAAGGAATAGTGAAGATTTGGGTAGTGCAAAGTATAAAGCCTCTCGATTTTGGCAGCTCAGCTTGCATTTCCCATGAAAGAGAACTTGTGCTGAAGCCACAGGGATGCTCAGCTATACCAGAATATAAGATTCTGTAATGAAAATTCCAGTAGGTTTTTGGGGGGTTGGTTTGTTTGTTTGCGTTTGTTTGTTTTTGTTTTTAATGTAGAGAATGGCTCCATCTGCTGCACTTCATGTGAAAAATTGCCTGTAGAATTTGTACGTAAGTGAAATGGGGAGCCTGGGCTTGGGGTCTGCCATAGTAAACACTGACATTATTCTTCAAAGAAAATTGGGAAGAAATTGCACAGACTAAATATACTGGTACTGCAGACAATTATTTTCTTAGTTCTGTTAGTGTGTGTGGATGTATGTGCACATGTGTGTGTTTATACATAAATATCTATTTGTGTGCATGTAACAGGTTGATCAGGTGCTCTCTGAGAGATCACCTGATGCATTACTTGCACAAGGTCAACACTGGATGAAGAGGAGCTTGTTAGATGTGAAGCATGCCGTGTAAAGCTGATACTGGGGAGGAAGGAAGGCATTTTGAGGAAGTAACTGAGATGCTAAATTTCCTGTTCAATGAAGGCTCTCTATTTCTCAGTTTCTCTTGTTGCAATATAAGGTTACATAAAATAACCTGGCAAGTTCACTGTGATTTATCTGTTACAATGACTCTAATTTAATTTACAGTAAAATTATTCCTCAAAATTAAATGTGCCACTGCTAACCCATGAAATACATGATTGTTAAAAGAGCAGGAAGTTTAAAACTAGACTGAAAACTAACATAAGAAAGGCAAAGTTTACAAAAAGTTAACTAACATAGAAGTCACTGTCATCCATTTGTTGCGTTCTGGGCAGAGAGAGATGGTTGCTCTTTCATTAGGGCAACAGCAGAAACGTTTCCTTCTGTGTTTTAGTACTTCATGTCTGAATTTGGAGCAGGAATCTTAACACACAGCGCCTGGGTTAAAAGTTAGACTTTTAACACTGGTAAGGTAAGCACCCTCTCTTTTCAGTTGTCACTTTGCTTTTCAGTTTTTGAATGCAGGGCTGTCTGGAAGGAAAGTCTCATCAATCTAGACCGACACAAGGTCAGACCGTTGCTGTCTCTGCAGGCCAAAGCTTATGGAGATGGTTCAGAGGTCCAAAGTATTCTAAGCATATCACAATAAACCAGCCTGGGACACGACAAAAAGATCATCCCGTTCCTCTCTGGAGGTACTGTGGTATCTAGACAAGCAAAGAATTGCCAGCTGTGGGAAGGTCTGTGGGTGCAACTGCTGCTGTAGAACTCGAGGAGGAAGCACAGCAGCTAAACACACATGGCAGTCCCCATGCTGTGCTGCACAGAATGGTAGTTCCCAACCTTTTTGGAATAACAGACCATTGTCACACCTCCTCTCTTGTGGCTGCTCAGCCTAATTGTGCTCAGGAGTTTTTACTATTAAAGATGATCATGTGTGTATGCCATACCTCAGGACAGCCAGTAGCATGAAAATAATTCAAATGTTAATTTTGAAATAGCTCAACAAGCTGGTGTTTATCCTGAAGTTATGCACTAGTACATCTGTTTTTTTTTCCCTGATAAGAAGGAAATTTCTAGTGTGCACGCAGGTCTTGTTTGGCTTGACCTAATTTCTGCTGATAGCTTCTTCTGCTTGCACACCCTGAAACATCCTGTTTTCTGCCATTCATACACCATGTTGACCTCTT